TTAAAGTGTGAATGTTTTTCTCCTTTGCAGAACCACATTTTTGTAAGTAGAGCATAAGCAATAAAATGAGATACGGTGTTATTGAAGTCTTAAAATAACTTGATGATTTCTTATCACAGATGGATGATTTAAGAACTAGAAGAATGAATATGCATTCTAAATGATATGAGAGAACAATTTTTGTTTTAGAATAATAGGATTTCTAGGAGATTCATGGATACTTTTATGCTTCATTTAGTCATGTTAATGACCATCGTTTAAACGTCAGGCTCAAAAGACGAGCAATCATTACCGACATTTTACACTCCATGGTTTTAGAGGTGAAACCAGTATATTCTGAAATAAAGTGTGATGGCATTATAGTTAACAGCAAAGTCGCAATCGTCTTATTCAAAATATGTGCTAACAACCAGAAGAATTATCTTGGAAACCTACCGATGAGGTTGTGTAATTATGAGCATGCTTTAGTAGTTCCTCAATTTTCTGTCAAAAATTGTTTTAAGAATTCGTTGTAATTCTTTTGAGAATCATTTTTTAAAATCATGTTTATTAAATAAAAGCACATGCAGATGTGGCACTAAATTAAGTGTGAATTTAACTCACTTTTAGTTTAGGCTCTATGGACCTTATGCTGTCTAGCGAAGCAATCAAATGAGAAAAAATTAATTATGACTGCTATTACTTCCACTCGCTTTCGAATCTAAAGACTAGTCTGCATCATATTATTTGAAAACAACTGGGGTGGTCTCGAGTGTCCCACTTTGTAGTGCTTCACACATGATACAGCCTCCACCAACATTTATCAGCATAAAAAGCTGTTTATTTACATCCGCATAGTCCTCAATGAAATACAAATGTATTCATTTAAGCGAAATACATTCTTTATTATAAATGACTGTGGTTTACAGCCGAAACTGGTCAGGGTTCCTTTAAAACCTCTTGCTCTAACAATTGCCAAATCGCACCACTTTAGAATGCAAAGCGTGATATAGAAGTAGTGGGAATGAGCAGAGTTGATAAAATGCTCAAAATGCCGCATTAATAATACATACGTTGAGCAAGTAGAGTATAATTTTTCAAACCGAGGCGGAGATAGCTATTACATGGGCTATCTTGAATTCTCGATCTTATAAAACACCAAATATGCGTTCCACAATTAGACTCAAGGGTCGAGAAGCCAGCTGCACCTTTTCGTGGTGGTTAATTTATCTCCTAACTATTTTTTATAGCAATTAACAACATTTGAGGTCTTAAAGCTTAGTTTTCATCTTAAAATTAAAGAACTAAGAGCTACCATTAGGTAAGTTCATGACATTTTAACCACGACTGACCATCAGCACCTTCAAAATTTGGCTGATTGAATTGACTAGGAAAAACTTGGAATACTAAACAGGTATTTTCCATTAAGGATGGATTTATTCCCATAGGAACAACATAAAGCTACCCAACTCTTTTTAATACAATGGGTAGAAATCATAACCAATGTAAACAGATGGGTGACTTCTTTCTTTGTTACCGTAAGGTCTTATGCAGCCGTTTTTTCATACTATAAAAAGGAACAGTTCATATTTTTACATCTTGGTCGTAGCATATCATGGATCATGAACTCACAAAGTGAGAAGTGGTTCTAGTTTAATGAAATTCCCCACTTATGTACAATATATCTAATGCAAAATTTGGAAACCTGTTAGAACCATGTTAGAGTCATTTTAAAAACGTGGGACAGGACTACAGCCTCCCGTGCGTGTAAGATCCAAAAGACTACTAGAAAGCAGCTGTTACCAAGACTTAGGTTGTATCAGAAAAAACATTCCCTGCAGCTGTTGCAGGGAATTGTGTGGTGAGCAGCATAAAAATGCAGTCCAAAAATAACCTACCGGACGGCTAAAAAGTTCAGACTTTCCAATTCGCGGAATTGCCATCAAGTTACTTGCTGCTTTCTATTCGAAATGGTCTGTGAAGCCTTTTGAGACCAGTAAATTGCCCCTTTTTAGACAGCCTAAGTAGGAATGGTGGTTGAGAGAAAAGCTAAAATGCTTACTGCAAGCAGGCTACCATAAGAGAACACATGGGAATACAGATTAGCTTTACAATATTGCGTATAATAATGGTTTCAGGAAGACTGCTAAGGTGTGGATGCTGATGTTCCGGTGTTATAGCCTTTGCCAAAGTGAATAAGCCATTCCATGTGTAACGCAATCCTTACAATGCGCGTCTAATGAACTTTCAAAGCAGCTAGATATGACTGTACCATTGTAAAATCCCACACTACCTTAGGTTTTTACTAAAAGTTGTTTTTTACAGCTGAGACGAGACGATGAGGTTTTACGATGAGTTGCCCCCTTAAATGTGTCATTTATTCATTTTAAGAGTGTGACAGAATACCCTTGTGCTCAACAGCGAATTTTTGTATTTATTAATATTTTTAGCGACAGTTAATCTAATTAAGGGTGTTACCAGAATGTGAATCACATCCCACGTTGTAAAAATTATTTCCATGGTAAAAGTAAAAAAAAAATAAAAGCATTAAGTCAACCAAATCTGCAAAATTTGAGATGTTCAAAATGGTTTAGCCGCTGAATATCATGACACAAACTTGTTCCAAGCTTAGTTTTTCAGACTGCTGAAAGCAACATAGCATTTTCTTCGAAAACCATGGCGAGAACCTTAAAAAATCTCAATTTTTGCCAAATTTACGAACAGTATTTGGTCTACTCTATACATTATTTGAAAACCTGGTCACTAAGTCCAATAAATTCAAATGCATTATTGCAAATTATAGAGAGGCCTGTGTTCGTTGTTTGCTGGAGGTAAAATAAATGAGGATAAGAGTGTTGTCGAAAAGGTGAAAGTAACCATTTTTATATTCAAAGAATGATCACTTAATGTAATCACCACTTTATTGCTTATTGTTATCATAATTCATGAATCTAAACAATAAGCTCTCATTCTGAAATAATTATTGTCTGGAACTAATTCTCATCACAATCGTACCTTTTAGAAATTGTAAAATCCCAAGAGATGCATCTGTGCATGCATAGAGCTCTGTGACTGTCAAGGTTAAAACCTTCAAAGAGAAGAGGTGGCAGTGGGACTGAAGCTGCCACGAGAAATTAGTCAATGTTTCTTCAAAAAAGATGGTGGGATAGGTTTGGACCGTTTGTTTCTTACCTAGTCACTTCTTAATAAAATCTATTGATAATTCAACAGTAAGGGCTCAGCCAAGCGAACGATAAATGTAGTGGTACTATTTCAAATTCAACGATTAAGTTTCCTAAATGTGCTTTCGTTAAAAACTAAAATGGTAGCCTAAAAGCGATTTCTTGCGTTGTACCTATTTTCCACATATTTGTGAAGTTTCTCAGGGTTGCAGATGACACAAAATCAAAAAATCACGGTTTAAAAATAGCTAGTAAATCATTACCTACTTTATAATGTGCAAGGTAGAGTCTTGTACGTGTTGTTGAACTGGGATTTACACTTCATATATCTGGTAAAATTAATGGAATCCTCAAACGATACAAATAGACCCTAGTAATCCTGCACAGATGAAAACAAACAGCAGACAGCCGGTAACAGGTCTTTAAAGTTTTGCTTTTCTCTTTTGAGAAACATGTATGGAGGTAGAAAATATTTGCATGGGAATTTCAAATAATTTAATGAGAATGCCAAGGAACGTGAATGGGTCTTCGTCGATGAGGTTTGTGGGAATGGTGAATCATCGGAGAGGGTAGCATTGTCAGGCATGCTGTAAAGGCGCTAAGATTGGCTAGAGACCCCATTGTATTGGAATTCTCAAGGAAGGCCCAGTTTCACAGAAAAGAAAAATAACCTTGGACTGTGTAGCATGGTGGCGAATCAAAAAAATGTAGCCCATCATGATACACGTACATTTTAGAAAATATTCTTGTTTAAAATAAGTACCAGCTTTCTCACCTCTAGCAGAGGTGTTAATGAAACGCCGCGAAATTGGGACGGCTAACTTTGGCTACTAAAAAGGTTAATAAATGGTTTATTTTAACATAAATGAGAGACAAATAATGAGCATCTTGCTTGGTTTGTGAGTGGGTGATCTACAAGTACATGGAAATGATCCTTTCTTTGGGTTGATGTAAATTAGTCGTATTATTTTATGTATGATGTCAATATTTCGTGCTAACTTTCGTTTTAGCTGTATAATTCCCGTCGAGAACAAGAAAACTGGCATAGCTGACTTTTATTTAGGCAAATGCGTTACGCTCCCTATCTTTGATAACAGAGCATATTGAATCGGCAATCTGAATAACCACGTATTTATTACTTCCACTCATAACTTTATTCATTTTAGCCTCATGTTTTACATAGAAGGCAAAATGCCTCCTTTTTTATGTGGTCATTTTTCCTACGAAATGACAAAATCATGCTCTTGGAAGACTTACCTTTTTTTACTCTTAGTAAATTAATCATCGTTTTTTTTAAAGTTACTTAACGTGCTTGAATGATTTGGGTAAATTAAATATGGATAAAGTTGATCCATCATATCCGCCTTACGAGGCAACTACCGATTAATGCTAAACAACGAGAAAAGTCTTTTAACCTGTCAGTTGTACTGCTAAATGATAGATGTGCCACTGTGTCGTATTCTAGTGATAAAATCAGCATAAACTCAAATTTGATGCTTTCAAGTACAGCATAAATGTACTTTAACGCGATTCTGCTAGTCACAGCAAAGTTTGCATTTATTAAGTCGCAAACTATAACACATACAAGACCAAATTTCTATTACACAGTTATTTTATTATGATAATCAAATCGTTTTCATAAATGCATCGGTTCCAATAGGAAAACCTAATTGCAGAAAACATCCGAAATCGTAAGACGATATCGAGCCAGCAGAATTAATGGCATAGTTTAGTAAGAAAAGCCTCACCCCAAAACGCCGACAAATGTGTCTTTTTCCCCTTTCTGCTTTCAAGTGTTTTTGGCAAAGAAATACAAGACTGCTGTAAAATTCGCCCTCATCAATGGCACACAAACTGTAAAGTGACCGTCTGTGCCCAAAAAACAAAGCCCCGGAATTTGTGCTCATCCCTCTCGATGCCCACTTCATGTGGGCAGTCGTAGATTTGTCCTTTGATGTCGCTCTTTTTGTGCCTATACATGTCCCAAAGGGCGACGCGAATCGACAGTTCCACAAAAGCTATTTAAAGACAAATTTAAGCAACCGACAGGAGTTTATTTCAGCTGTTTGCCGAGCAATCACGGGATAATTGTGTATCTGACTCTGGTAGTCTCACTATGGGGACGGAAAGTGAGAGTAATAGCTGGTGAAGCGAAACGTAGAGAGCGGAGAAGTCCATGCTTAGCAGCGCCTGAGTTGATATGAGGTCGGGGTAAATGGAAGGGGTAAGCTCGATAGGAAGTGAAGTTATTCACACCTTACCATGTAAATGAGATAGCATATAGGTTAACATAAACAAACATGGGTTATTTTTATCCTTGCAAAGGCATACTGTGCTGAAAGATTAAGATGCTTAATTGGAACAGCATGGTTAGATTTAGTTAAGTTGTCTTAATAACGCAATTCCCGGGTCAGGTGAAGCTGCAGCTCCCAAAAGATGGATACTTTCAGCATTAAAAATTGTGATTCAGTTGTAAATTTCAAAAGTGTAGAATCGTTGAAGTTTCCCTAAGCACTATCTATAAAAATTCTTTTTTCACAAAACTGGTCCAACAGTTCTTTCCACAATACTGTAATTTGTGGATACATGGATGATTGTATTTATTGAGAACAGGTATTTGGAAGGACTACAGATTCGATAATAGGCTTTCTCTTAATAACCTCATCCAAACATCCTTACTGTGGCACGTGATATAGCAGGAATAGAATTTTGGAGCAAGTAGGTGCGTGAAAAACCATCTAGTCTAATTCATAGAGTTATATTGTCATACCTATTCTAAATATATCAAATCATTGTTTTAAACTATAAGTAACAACGAAATAATGGAACTGCAGCAACCTGTCACATGCGTTGTTGTTGTCAATTATCAGAACTGTGCAATAACGATATCACTTTTACTGCCTACTTTTAGCAACAACCTCCGGGTTATAGCGATTAGTGAAATTATGACCTGCCTCATCCGTAATCAATGCAGTCCTCTTCGACATTTTATCGTTCACACTTAAATTAAACTACTCATTTATGGCCCTAATTCACTCTAATGGATGATTTTTTGCATTTTTTAGTCACATTGATAGTTTTTTACTGACCATCTGTAAAATTATATTCCATTTTTTACCGTTGTGGCTGCTGTTTCCTCTTCCACATTGAGAAACTCGAAACACTGAGATTAGACGTGATGGGAGTGCGCTATGACAATGCTACAGCGCGTTCACTCGCCCCACACATGCACCTACCCACACAAACAGCCTACCTTGCATAAAGTTCCCACCCCTGGCCCCTTCCACTTTTATGTGGTCCCTCAACCTTGTCTCCCACCACACAAATGCCTCATACGACCCGAGCGTGATCCACTTAAACTCTACAGCTTAATCAATCTTTTAATTTGTTATTAAGACTCATTTGCCAAAAGTTTCTGTTCCAAAGCCAGAGGCACTGTAAAACAATTTTGGACAGGAGCTGGGGAGGAGCAGCATTTGCTGAATGCCTTTACCATCCATTTTTACACAAACTGATTTCATGCTCTACTTAATAGTAACGGGATCAAAAGAACAAAAAACTTATTTGAAGCCTAAGAATATTACAAGAGGGGAAGTTTGTTACAAATGAAAGTAACTTGTGACTGCCTTACATGCCTCGTAGTAAATATTAACTCACCGTTATTCAAGTTGAGGCGAGTTCGATACAAACCTCCCGAATATGGTATGATCAAATAGTTACAAAAGGTTCATTTTCGAAAGTACTTTGTTTCTACTGATCATTGTGTTAAGAAATAGACCCTTCTAGGAGTCGTACTGACCTGACCAAGGCTAAAAAATCCTTAGCTCAAGGCTTAAAATCTACGATAGAGCACTTACACATGCAAGACGCTTATTATTATAAACCCCCCATTACATGCGCCCATTGTTAGCGTTAGAAATGAAACAGTAGATTCTGGTGAAGAGTAAACGCAGAATTTTTCAGTGTCAGAGATCCGTGTTTTCCGCATGCGAAGCAGTGTCGCGAAATCGTTTGAAGCAAAAATAAATTATGCAAGGGGAACTTTTCGAGATCTTCTGCCGGCGGCCCGTACACTCGTTTCCAAGGCATTTTGCAGTTTCATAATATCTCTCGTATTTTCCCGATGTTTGAAAATACCTGCATTCCTGGGCAAAAACCGAACTATTTGATGAAATGTTGAGACTGTTTCAAACGTAGATTGAGTTATTCCAGCAAAATCTATCGTCAGTTTACATTGAATGTTTCCTCTTAAAGTGACCATAAAAGTGCTCTTGATTTTTACTAGAAATAGGCCGACGGTGGCACCACTATATCTGCTGGTTAAGAATAATTAGTTGCTTCAATACTCTAAATGAAACAATGAGTCGGGGACCTACTGAGGCTTGTGATGGCCTCAGTTTTACTGTATCAAATCACAATGATTGTTTAACGAGCTAACCATAGCAACAAGGCAATCACAATTCCAGTAGGTTAGGCCCAGATTTCTTGTTGATTTACAATTTCTTGCCAGTTATCATGCACATTTGACAGCCACTGGGTTATGCAATTGATTGCCAAGAACTATAAGATAAATATTCTTAAAAGGAAGATGGTAAATTAACACTGACCTTAAGTTCTCAATGAGATTTATGAACAAAACAGATATCAAATAAGATATTCAGCAGAACTGTTGATGCTCTAAGTACCAGCGCTGTATTCAAAATTAAGAAATGGTCTTCATTGGTTATGACTTTCGTGAGTCTGGAGAAATTGCAAAAAAGACGTTTTAAAATTGTGGGATTTGCACGACTTTTAGGCAAATAAACAGCCGCAAGTTAGGCTGAGTAAGCAAACGGAGGATGCTCCGCTATTGCCCATTCTACCCCACCTCACCACGTCTTCTCCCTCCGCCCAAAACCACCTTATGATAATGGCGTCACCTCCGCTCTGACTCAGATTTGATGTTAATTCCCTCACAAGTTAGGCTTTAAATCATGTGAGGTTTGATTTTGAGCTGGATTTGCAGAAACAATACGCGAACATGCTTTTTTGTGTAAAGGAAGCAAAGCGGAATTACGGTACTGAAGAGGGTTAAAAAGACGACTCGAGCACTTTATGTCCGTCATCGAAAGGAATGGGCTAGTCTCCTACTTAAGTCATTGCCTTTGGCCTTGAGAAAACACATTGGTATGAATGTTGCCTACCATAGGACTTTGCTTTAGTTAATGCCTCTTGGATTTCATCGACTTCATAATTAAACTATTTTTATTTTTTAACCTTTAGTTCACAAAATATCACTTGAGAATGGCCATGGAGATTGGGAGGATTCCAATCACCCTCACATCTGCTGGTCCAGAACAGATATCATTTTTATTGTGCTGTTTGATTTCACGATGACTTTAGGCCCCAAGATCCTCAAATCAAGAATACACCATATTTAGCAATGGACTGACCATGTGCCATCAATGGCACATGGTCCCGAATGGTAGTAAAGGCTTTTATGCTCATAATTTTATGCCCAAGCAACTTTCAAGACAAAATATTCTTCTACTTCCTTTTACTAGGAAGTAAAAGAAACAAAACACCCCTACCTAGAATTTAAGGCCAATTCTACTTTGAAAGTCAAGAAAATTTACTTAGATGCACTGCATTTCTTTTGTAATCGCATTGCTTAACCAAAGTGGATAAAACAGCTATAATGTTTTCTACATAAAGGAATGGAAATTCGACATTTGAAGATTTACATAGATGTTTAATTTGAGGATTGCTAATTTTTACTCCTATCTTGGTCACCTTTTTTATACTCATGTGATATCTTCCTCCCCCCAATTTTAGTTACCGTTTTTTCTTTGAAAGGTTCATTAACTACCAATTTAAAGATCTATTCCGTACAACAGACGGCTCATAAAGATGCATATTTTTCACACTTTTAGTTCTGTTTACCAAGACATCTGTCACTAGCGAACTTGATGAGGGGTTTAAGTGCCATGGTAAAAATTAGTGATAGAGAAGAATAGAGAGGGGAAACAAATAACTATACTTGTCCCTGTGTTAAAATCTTGCAGGCACTAAGTTAGGGCATTCTAGCCATACTTTATTGTTTTTATTTTCTTTCATTCCCGAAGAAAAGTAAAGTAAGTACCGAAAATCCAAGTCTGGAGTGTTTGGCTAATTACAATCAAACATCAACAGTGTAGTGTTGTATTCATCACCCTAATGTCAGTCAGCATTATAAAATTATGCCTTTATAAGAGAGAGAGCCCTATGCGTAACTACAAAAAGTTAACAAGGTCCTCTATTTTGCCACCCGCCCATTTTGAGTAATGCAATTTATAGGGTATAAACATAATCAAACAATTAAAGTTGTCCATTTGCACGATGTTATACGATGAGCATAAAGTATGGATCAAAAAAATACGGAGATGATCTGTGTTAAATCTCGTCCGAATTACCTAAATACGTCAATATTAAGCCATGAACTATTTCACTGGAATACCACACTAAGTTATGGCTAACAATTGCTTATCTCTTTCAGTGATGGCGTAAGCATGAGGCGTGTCTTGTCAAAGACATCACAATAGCCACCTTCTGTCATTTAGCAGGTTAGGTTGGCAAGATCCAGTTCCAATGCCTCGATAGTGCAACTCAGACGTACTGGAGGTATTCGTGTAATTAATCGTTTACGGAAATGGCTTATAGCGAATCAGTCGATCATATCTGTATTGTTTCGCCTTGGAACTATCCATAAACAAGGAAATTAAGCCCTCTCTAATAGTGTGGATGTTGCGTTGCTTATAAAAATACTTTTTAGGACATCTCCTTATCTATAAACAAAGCTTTCTTTTGAGTTGAAATGCGAATACATCCAAACATTTGGCAGCACGAAAACTGTTGTCATCAGATTAAACTTTCAGTTCCGTTAACATTCCAGGAGCCATCTAAATTGCTTCAAAGTAAACGAGTAGGTAAATATGCGTAAGCTCAAACACCATTCGGATAATTGTGAGTCAAATTTTATTCTCAGTGATTAAGTAATCTAATTTATTGACTGTCACTTTTGTGAGTTTGGCGGTAAACATCGGAACTTTAATCAAATTAAGCTAATGCGTTATGACATCCCTAATGTTCTTACTTTAATCAGTTTGCGAACACACCGCACCTATCCTCTTGCTTTTCTGTCACTTCAAATAAAGCCTCCAAAAGATTAAGGACAAATCACTATACTCTCAGGGTGCAATCGGTTTAGTTCACAGTACAATTTAAAACGGAACTTCGGAATTGCTACTTCTGTTTTGAAATAATCATGGTGACCAGGACAAATGACTCTCAACCCTCCATGGCATCATCTACATATCTGAGAAGAAACGAAACCAGGACAATCGCCAATAGTGCTACGGTAGAAGATGTTTTTTTAAATGATAGAGAGGCGTACCTCTTATTACGACCTTTGTAAGCTAAATAGAAGACATAACAGGGGTGGTCATGTAAAAAGGGTCATTAAATATTTTGCATACGCTTCTCTTTGAAACTGCTACTCCTGCCATGAATGCCTTCCTCAGATTCACTAGGTTTTATTTCAAGGACTACCCTATAACAGTAATGCTTGAGTATCGATTCAAAAAAGCCCCCAATATTCGCAATAAAATATTTAAATAGGCCAGTCTAGCAAAAGTAGGCTTAGTTTAAATGAACAATAGCCCTGGAAATAAAATAAATTTAGCTGTTTTTGAAAAAAAAATAAACATTAAATATTTAGATCGTGGAAAACTTTGACTGATTTATCGTTCTTATACCACCCACGCACAAGTTGATTGAGCAATTTTCATCGTTGGCATCGGTAATGCCGCTATAATTCTCATTTCCGTGTGCCATTACTCTATTCATCAAAGTATGTTTATTTCACATCGGGAAATAAAACTATCAGAGAAAAGTGGCTGCAGTATGCAGTTGTTGATGCTATCGCATGTTCGAAATGGTTTATCAAAGCCACCAAACACTTTTTTGCTTA